AAGTAGCCTTCCCCTTGATCTTCTTCCTTAGGTTCTTCTAGGCTGGCTGCTTCACTCACTCCATCTTCCTCCTCATCCTCACCCGGGGCATCCTTAGACACAGTGTCCTCCAGTCAACAAATGCAAGCAAAGGCATCCAGCAAAGCATCATTCTATATGATCTGTCTTTTGGGTTAGATCAGTTCTAGAAATGGCCTCACACTATTTCTGTGACTGAGCCCTCTATCACTTATACTACTATCTATTTATAGAACTGTCTAAGTAAAGTAATTTAGAACCTGGACAAAGAATAAAACCCAGGATCTTTTTGAAAGGAAGAAAAAAAAAAAAGCTACTTACTTAAGACTAAGCTAAGAGGCGTTCCTTCTTTCCCCTTGCTCTTGAGAGGAACTCTGACCCTGGGTACAAAGTTATCAAAAATAGTTTTATTTCATCTCTCATCTGATGGAGCAAGCTCTTGTCACATTATTTTAAGTCGTTACTACTACTTTAGTAATTCCAAAAAGAAAACAGAAGATTCTCTGAATAATTTGGAATGCTTGTATATTCTGACTCTGGTATTCCTATCCACTCCGAATCACTCTCAACGTATTAAAACTTCTTCATGCACTATGTGCAAAGAAAGGTCTGGGTGATGCTCACTCTCTTACAGACAGGAGGCACATATCACTATCATAATACTCCTCCTATGCCAGACTATCCACTGCAGCTTTTCCCCCATGCAAAACCTAACTAGTCTCATCTCAAAGAAAAAAGCTTTGCGTTTACTAAAGTTTAAAAAGTAGTTTTATAGGAAAATCTAATCACATGGCAAGAGGAATAAAGAAAAGTCTGAAATACCTTTATCTGGCTTCCAAAAATAGTCCCTGATTCTTCTTTCAATGAGTCTGCAGAGGAGAGAAAGACTACCTGAAGATTTTTCCACCTTAGCCTTCCCCATACTATGGACCATAATCCCCTGCAGCTCTCTTTTTTATGCTGACCTATTCTACCTCTTCTACTTGCCCACAACCCACAAACCCTCAGAAGCCAAAGCAAAAAAAAATTTCAAGTTACAGAGTACAGATCTCCTCTTTTATTTACCTGACATTTCAAACTTGTGCTGTGTCTCTCCCTCTAAAGGATCTTCAATAAGATTGGAGTCATGTGATGGAGACAACATGCTTTCAGGGGAAGCCTAAAGACCAAAAAAAAAAAAGAAAGAAAGGAAGATCCTAAGGTATTGGTAAATTGCTATAGCTCCCACATTTTATTTTTCACTATTAAAGACTATAGAAGAAATTCTAACTCATGTAATGATTCTAATGGCCACCTTAATGAAGACAAGTGTATACAGCCCTGATCACAAACTATAGGCTTTGGATACATGTCAGGACTCAGGAATGCAACTCAAGAATCAAAAGTTTAAGCTATAGTCCTCCATCTCCCTAGCCCCTGATCTTATATTAAATACCTCTGTCTTCACAGATGTAAGTGGCATCTCATCAGTTTTCCCACTGGAACCATTTGCTTCAGCAATTTCTCCAGTTGCAGCACTTTTGGGCTCCTCATCGAAGTTCTGACTCCTGAGTTCTGGTGGCTCCATACTTGCGGCTGGAACAACTCCAGATACTATCTCAGCCCCTGAAATGCCAGGGTCTGGTTCTGTAGGTTCTACCTTGATCTCAACACCAGACTCCCTGATGTCCACCAAATCATGGATTCCCTTGTTTTCTGTTTCTTCAAAGTCCAACCTCTCTTGCTTGACTGTCATCTCTGGTGTAGGGAGAGGTATTGGCTTGTCCCGTTCCTGCTGGATTGGGTGCTCCCAGGGGCCAGGCAGAGATTGGGGGTCATCATTCTCTTCACAGAATGAAAGTGCTGCTTCCACAGCTGCCACATCCAACACTTCAGGATGATCGTCTACCTGTCTCATAATATAGACTGTTCAGATCAAAGAAGGAAGCCCAAAACCCTCAATTTTGTTAGCACCAAATGAGATGGCCTGCATCTGCAGCTTCTCTGTTCATTTTCTCCGTAAAATGGAAGCAACCAATGAATAAGCACCTGTCCTGTAAAACAAGTACTATAGGGATGACTGGAGAGATAACTAGTATGACAGTACCAAAAGGCTTTCAAACTACAAAGATACAGATGGACAGAAAAGCTACTTGAGTAATTTTTACTTGTAAAAAGCAAAGAGAAGGGGCTGGTGAGATGGCTCAGTGGTCTAAAGCACCTACTTAGAACAAGCTTAACAAAGCACAGGGACTGCGGTTCAATCCCCCAGCACGACATGCCAGCCAGCCCCGCCCCCTGGTGGGCTGAGCTGGCCACACACACACACACATAAATAAAAAAAAAATTAAAAAAAAAAAAAGGTAACATTTAAAAAAAAAAAAGCAAAGAGGAGACAAGCCTATGTAGTACCAATGAGAATCTGATGTTTTGCTGAATAATTACCTTATCTTCAATGATTGCAATGATGTCTCCAACAGTCTCAAAGTCCAGTTCTTCACCTGTGTAAGACACAGCAATATCCATCTTCTCAGCCAGATCTAAGTCTTCCTTTCCATCTATGCTGGGAGCCTTTGATCCTCCAGAGGTCTCTGCTACCCCTGATCGGAAACACTCTTCTTTGATAGAATTAATAATCATGGAGATTTCACTGCTATCCATGGAAACAGTCACAGTATGTGGATCTCCCACAGCTTCCATAGGAACACAGGTATCAGGTTGACTCACTGAATAACAGGAAGAAAAAACCATCTCACAAACTTACTAGGTACTAAGTGACCACCCAGAGATCACAGCAGAGCTGCAGAGAGGTATCAAGGACCCACACACTTAAAAGCCTCAAACTCCTATCTGCCTGTATTTTCTCCCCAGTCCTTTTTATTTTATTTTGTATTTTAGGGAAGGGTCTACAGGGTGTTCAGGGTCCCACTACTAGATTGGACTCAGTGATCTACCTCTTTACAGCCTCCCAAGAGCTGGGATTATAGCCACCACACCCAGTCAGTCTCAGTTGCCATCTCAGCATGCGCCGGGGGTGGGGCCAGCATAACAGGCCAGGGGATCAAACCCCCAGCCCCTGCAGCTGCTTGAGGAGCTTTAATCCACTGAGCTATTTGGCCAGCCCTGCCCAGTCCTATACAGAAAGTAAAATAAAGAACACATTCTTAAGGCTGCTCATTAACTGTTTTACCCCAACAGAGAAATGCCCACCCACAGCCCTTTTCCAAGGACAAAGACAGCATAGTTCTACAGAGAAAGAATGGAAACATTGAAATTGGAGCTAATCTCTTGGTTAGCTTTCTTTAACTGAAACTCTAAATGAAATTTTGGTCCTAGCAGCTGCTCAGGGCGTGGGTCAGGGACGCACCTGGAGCTACACTTTCTGGAGTGGAGACAGCCGGAGCAGAGGATGGTGCTGGCAGCGCAGGCATCATGACAATGGTAGCTTGGGATACAGACTCTACAGGGGGTGGCACAAGTTTAACTGGAGGCTCACTGGCAACAGTAGTGAATGAAGCAAGAGGTGTGGTGAATTGTGTAGGACCAGCTTCTAGAAGCCGGGAAAGAGTGGGAGCACCTAACAAAGAGGTACACAAAATGAGATAAGAAGAAAGCATATGAATAAGAAGCAATAGCTACTTTAAGACTCAACCAAGAAAATATTTTATAGTCTCAGAGGATGAAAGCAACTCTAGTGTTGAATACACTCATCATCTATAGCTTTACTCTAGCCTCACCTAAGTAAGATTTTTTTCCAACTTACAAATGATTCAAAGTACTATTAACACAGGGCTGGGGAGATAGCTCAGTAGACTAAGAGCTTGCCTGGCAAGCACGGAGTCCTGAATTCAATTCCTGGTCCCATTAAAAAAAAAAAAAAAGTCAAAGTACTACAACACAAAATGTTAAAAAAAGAAAAGGAAAGTAACTTTTTCCGCAGTTATCAGGAACAAGAAAACAAAACAAAACAAAACCTGTTATGAATCTGTCATTTCTTTTTTTTTTTTTTTTTTTTTTTGGTGGAACTGGGGATTGAACTGAGGCCCTCGAGCTTGCCAGGGAAGTGCTAATTCCACTGAGCCATCTCCCCAGCCTGTCATTTCCTCTAAGGTTCACCATTCAAGTTCAACACCATTGAAATACCAGTATCTAAATATTTACATATTTTATGAAGCTTTTTTCTCTTTATATTTTTTACCTTATTTCTTACCATATCCTGCTAAACTACAGACATCACATGAGTCTCAATAGTTAAGTTAGCTACCCAAGGTCATAAAATCAATCAATGTTAGGAAAGCCCTCAAGTCTAGATCTCTGGTTCCAAATCTTTTCTACAGTGTCAGGTATCTCTATCACCTTTTCATAATTTTGCAAGCCAAGAGAAGCTTCTTCATAAACTTTACTGTTCCTCTGTTCATTATCTATACCATGGTCAAATATGATTTTGAACTATGTCTATTTGCCAGTCTGTAGGTCAGGCTGGTCTCAAATTAAAGTTAGCCTCTCATCTCCGCTTCCTAAGTGGTAGGATCCAGGAATGTGCCACCATGCCCAGCTCAAATTATCAGTATTTTAAAAACTGAAAAGATTAGAAATCTCAAGCAATCTAGACTAATAATCTCCATCTCTATGTTAACAGGTAGTATAGCTCCAAACTAAGTTAGAAAAAGTAGTTGGGCTTTAAATCAAGGACTACCAACTATTTAATAACAAACGCTGAAATTAGGTTTATTGCTCTGAAGTAGATAAAAAAGAAAAGTAATGACTTACCCGAGGCAGCAGGGGAGGCTGCAACAGTATTGGGTGTTTGCTGTATCTCCCCACCATGAATCATGGGAAGGACCCCGCCTACCTCCAGAAGGA